TTAAACTACAGTAGTTTGAGTAGAGTAGTTGAACTACGTCCAAGTCTGGTGGTGATGTCTTGATTTGTCCAGGACATCTTTTTTTACCGATGAGGCGCGCGGTGGAGCCTCGGTCCTGGTTTCTTGCGATTGTTTTCGAAACAGCAAAGAAGGACAGTTTTTTTTTTGTTTGCTTTCATACTCACGTTTTAAACTAAACAACAACAAAAAACATTGCATTGATCAGGAGATTTAATTGCAAGCCTAAAAAAATTAATGCACTTTGTTGACATGATGTGCAACACACTCAGATTAACCACTATCTTATCAGCGCTGTCGGTTTTCCAAAATTGTTACGTTTTCTACATCACGTCAATAAATCAGTAGGTACCCGCGGGACAACATTTCGGAATACTTAATGAAAGTGAATGTGATATAAACTTGAATATCGCAAACATGTGCAATAAACTGTCTTTTTAAACACCCAATCACGCTTGTTTCTTACGCTTTGATTGAGTTGATATCCGATTTGTGCTTATTGTTTCTTGCGAAATTAACTGTGGAGAGCGTGTTCGTGAAGATGACTTGGCACAGAGACCAAAACCAAACTCAGGAAATGGGACGACGAACATGGGACTACCATTCAATCGCAGTGAAACGTTGGCGGTAGGGGTCTTGCGATGTACTCCAGCCGTCAATTGAATTAGAATGAGAAAAATAAAAACAGCTATAGTCTGTGACACCATTTTGCTTCAAAAGCGCAAAGTTTGCTGGGGTGTGCTTGAAAAATACTTGGTTATTTGTCCATTTTTCGCTCGCATTTCGGGTTTAAAAGTATTTACCCAGAAGGACCATAAAGTCTCAGCTTGCTTAAAAAAAAAAAAAAAAAGATATGCTCATCAATACTTTGTTTGCTTTCGTATGTAACGCAAATTGTTGGAGCATGCAGGCGATCGCCATAGGCGTCACAAGGGGTCGCGCGTGTCTTGTCAATTTAAGCGTGACTACATCACATAGCTGTAAAACCTAAGAGGCATCATAGAAGTCACGCCAATATCGTCATGGTTTGTACGCCAATATCGGCGTGACATGTCACGCCAATGGTAGGCGTTAAAAAAGATTAACTTTTTCACGTCAACATAACCGTTACCAGAATATTAGAGGCTGCTTCCACGTCGGATCGTGCAATGATGATCCGGGTTTTGTTTCTTTTTTTTTTTAAATATTTATGTAAAACCTATATGTGACAGCCATGTTAATGAAAGGAGCATTTGAACGTTGCATCAATTTTTTTTTTTGAGATATAAAGTTGCGAAGCTTGAGGCGTTGAGATCGTTAAGGTCTCACTATTGTACTTTGCACAGCCGTCTATTTCACTCCGAACCATGCACGCAGTAATATTTTTCCTACTTATGCTGTGAAGGCGTTACAACATGTTCACAAAATATAAATGAGTGCAATAAAAAAAATTATGGGCAAAAAAGCTACGAAACATGTCAGGTAAACATATTTTAGAGACAAATTCACCAATTATTTACCAACAAACTACTTAATATAAAATAGCACAAGTGTATAAAAAAGAGGGTCTTCAAATACGTTTTACAAAATTATAAAAATATATGCTTATTCATTATTTTAGTTGTGTTATTAGTACAGAAACGCAGTTGAGTTTCCTAGATGTAACCAAACTGCATGTCACTAAAAAAAAAAAATCATTATCCTTTTTTCTTTTTTACACGGATCGTTTGTAGTGACTTGAACTAACTGGGGATGGCAAAACGTTGAGTAACATATATACTCAAAAAGAGAAAAAAAAAAAAACGACTATCCCCCCCTTCTCCTTGAAAACGCGTCCAAATTCGGCATTTCTTCGGAGTGCCATAAAATGCTGCGCATGCCTTTTATATTTATAATGTGGGTGGATTTAATAATATTCGATGACAGCCACTATATTTATAATTAATATGATACCTTAAAATTAATTGATTACGACGTTAATTACTTAAAGTGATTATTAATCTAATTATATCAAACAATGTTCTCTGTTCCTAAATGTGCCCTTTGGAAGGTAGCAATACTACATCAATCGTTTTCCTGTGCGATACGTACTTTTTACGGGAACGATGTGGCCCGCGTTTCGTAAAACACCCCGTATAGGTACAGTACTCCTCCCAAGGACACGCCTTTCATATAGTAAATAATTTACATTACTACAAAAATATGAACCGTAGAATTATTGCATGAACTGGTATGGAAACATCGAACAACAATCTTTTGTATTAACAGCTTTTATCTGTATTCAATTGTACGGTACGTATCGATACTTAGAATTGGTAAACTGGTTTCCTTGCCGTCACACCATGTTAAACACTGAGATACTGCCTTTCTAGATACTACATACTTAGCCTCGCTTTGGCGGTGACAGACCTTTCTCGTGTGCAGGCTTTACGTTTCATAGTAATGGGCCGTACACGCAGTTCTCAACTCTCGGCAGCAGTAGCGTCCGCCGAGAGTCTTTCCTGAGCAAAAAGCCCAAGGAATATGGAGGGGGGGGGGGGGGGGGGGGCAGGTTAGGCGCTAACGCAATTAAACTCAAATGAAAGCTAAGCTTAGGTACAGCACGACTTTCTACACCCTACGACAGAACAACACCGCTGTACAGCCTTTGTCGGTTCTAGAAAATGTCACTATGAAGCCGACGACCTGCGGCAAAGCCCAAATAACGAAGACAATCAAGCTCAATTTGAGGGAAGGCGTGTTGTCGTTTTTCTCTATTGGAATTCATACGTTACACAATGTTTTGCCATCCACTGCAGATGATTAAACGAGTTTAAAGAGAATATAGGATTAAGTTTTTTTTTCCTTAAATATTAAAGTGGAATTTTGCCGCATTTTGGGAAATCAGCTGCGTTTCAGAATTAATAACACAACTACAATAACGGCTAAGCATATCTTTCTACATATTAGTAAAATGAATTTAAACGTACTCGTTGTGATAGATTGAGCGTCATTTTATATAGAGTAGTGTTTTGGAATATAATTTGTGAGTGTCTATATAAAACGTTTTTACTTTACGTGTTTCGTTGCTTTTTTGCAATGGCATATTTTGTTGTAATTTTTATTATTCTCTGTAGATGTTGTAAACCTTTTATAAAATAACCAGGAAAAACTATTACTACGCACTTGCTTTGGTGTGAAATTGACGATTGTGTAAAATACAGTAGTGAAACCTTGTCAATCTCTACACTTCGAGTTAAAAATTTTATATCTTTGAAATGAAACTAACCACGTTTTTCGCGTATAGCTAAATGCTCCTCCCAAGGACATGATTCTCAAATATATATTTTTACATGAATATAAACATTATCATCCGGACAATTATTGTACGATCTGACGTGGGCACACCATTATATAGTTTTATCTTGGGGCAGGTTCACCAAGAACATGCTTGGTAGAGGCTTCCATGAATTACCAAGTTGTAAATTTTTTTGGGGGGAGGATATCTCAGGGGGCTTCCAGTTTTACTTCACTCTGGGCGTTCCTATGGTCTCTGGCAGTTTGCGAAACGTCAAGAACAATTCTGTGTAATCTTTTGTGCTGACGTGCGACCCTATTCGAAGAAACCTGAGCGCACGCACGTATGAGGGTTTGGCCTAGAGCGAAGACAATGCGTGTGCTTTCGCCGCGTCTTCCTCTCCCAGTTTACGCAGGTTAGTCCCCGGTTTGATAGGCGGTGTAGTTGCCTCTAATCTTTGCGGCCATTGTTTAAGAAAAAAAAAACAACAACAGGGTCCTCGTCCGAGAATGAGATTTCATGTCAGTCATTAATTCCTGCTACACGGAAGGACGCGTGCTTACCAGCTTTCAAGTTCTCTCACGCAGCGCCATTGTCTTAGCTGCGGAGGGGAGTAAAATTTTCCTTCTAGGGGAAACCTTCAACCGCCCGAAAGTACCACCAAGATAGTTCAAGGTCAAAAAAAAAAAAAAAGCCCGGAGAAAGGACTGTGTCAAATAGTGATGCCGAGAAATTAGCGCCTTCAGTCCGTTTGGCTCACTTCATCGCTGCGCGGCTTGCGAGCACGCTTAGGCGTAAATTGCCACTTCGGTAGGGAGCTCGCGTTGTGGCCCTTGCCTGGATAGACGTTCCAACCCAGTCCATGTCAAAAGGTAAGGTTATTCATGCCCAAAACCGTTTGATACATATATCAGTTATAGTGAGATTAGTAACCACTTAAGCAGACATTTCGAATGCGGATGATTCGTTACCACTTAAGCAGACATATGGAATTCAGACATTTCGAATTAATCGAATGAAGTATTCGATTAATTTGTTATTTTTATTCGTTCTAACTATTCACAGCAAAATTAGCGATCGGAGGAGATCGTGCATTTAGGATCTAAAATTAATATGGCCAATCCCACGTACTGATTCCACAAAAGTCCCAAACTGCCCGATTATATCTTTCTTTCTGAGTAAAGCTCATTCCTCCTAATACACCCCCCCCCCCCCCCCCCCTTAAATCACCGAAAACGCACTTTGAGCGTGGAGTCCATTCTTATGGCAGATTTGGGGCATCATGCGTGTAAGAAAGGCTTGGCCTAGAGGTTTAACTTTGTTGAGAGACACCGCTCCTTAAATTATCCACAATTAGTACCGTTTCATGAATCCAGCTTCGAGTAGAGTGAGTACTATTTTTCATTTATAATCGTTACTCGTAACATATTTGTTTTCAGAAAAGTGACCACTCTATTGTTTTATTTTCTTATAATTGATTTAGCAGTTTGTTTTCTGAACAGCCAAGGCCTTGGAGATGGCACACTAATAGGTTGGTTGATAGGTAGCCAACAATACTACAATGTAAACCTTTACCCCAAACTATACCATTATTACACCTACTCGCGGACTTAGGCAGACGTTACATTTAGTTGATTGGAATTTTAACTGGACAATATTCATCGTGCTTTTTTTCACCTTTCAGATTCTTCATTATTAAACTAGAGGCCGAACGGAAAGAATCATCATGGTGATTTCTCTCAACCCACTGAGCCTTGCCGAGGAGATCGAGAAGATGGGCGATCCTCGTACGCGGGAGTATGGCCTGGTCGTGAAACCGCTGTTCGTGTTTCCTCTCATCATCTCCTACCTGTACTTTGTCAAAGTCATCGGTCCACGCTGGATGAAGGACAGGGAACCATTCCAGATTGTAAACCTGATCCGCCTCTACAACCTTGTTATGGTGGTCCTCAACGCCAGGTTCCTCTACATTGTCCTCGTCAACACCTACCTTCCCTCAGGTCGCTACAACCTCTTTTGTCAAGGTATCACGGGGTACATGGACGAACAACTAACCTACTACTACAAGTCCGGATGGTGGTACGTCGCCGTACGCTACGCCGACTTCCTGGACACCGTCTTCTTCGTTCTGCGCAAGAAGTTCACGCACATCACGCATCTCCACGTCATTCATCACACTGTGGTGGCGGTGAATGCTTGGTTCTGGGTTACGTTCGCACCGGAGGGACAGCCGGCCTTAGGACTTGCCATCAACGCGTTTGTGCACGTCGTCATGTACGCGTACTATTTCCTCGCTACTTTGGGTCCCAGCGTGAGAAGGTACCTTTGGTGGAAGAAGTACCTTACCACAATGCAGATTGTGCAGTTCGTAATATTCATGGTACACATGTCCATTCCACTGGTTGTAGACTGCGGATTCCCTAGGTACTTGATTCACATTGCAAATGCGCAGACACTTCTTATATTGTGCCTCTTTGTAAACTTCTACATTAAATCATACTGGATGCGAAGGGGTGCATCGTCTACAAAAGGCAGGCCTGTCAGTGATCAAGCGTTCAAGAGCGAACTTGTGCATAACGGCAAGCACGAGTAGGAAGTTGAGCAAGGAAAACAATGTTAGTCACCATTTATGTTGTACAATAGCTAAGCCTACCAATCCGCTTCAATAGCAAGCACCATGCTGTCATGAGAGACCTCGACATGGAAAGAATTGCAAATAGGTCTGGCCTGGGGAGAACATTGTCCTTCACTCTTTGCATGTCTTCTCTGCTGCAGTCAGCTGGAAATGAACTAGAACATTCTTAACAAGAATATCTCCAGAATATCTTGAGAAGAACTCGGTCTCTCGATGGAAAAACGTAACAAAGTTAAAAGAGATCTGTAAATATTCAAAAATCATTTTTCTCCAAATGATAATGTTGTGGAGGTCAAAGCACCGTTATTCGCACTTTACGCGAATGTTAATTGCCACTTTATCGCAGAATAGAACATCGATAAGCATCGGGTATAATTTAAGTGCATTAACATTTGTACGAGAACTACGTGCAAGATGAATTTCGACTCCTTCATGATTAACCAAAGCATGCATAGGAAACGTGTAACTCTTACAAATTGTGGCAAAGGTCATGTGTACTTTGAATACGTAAATTGTATCGTGGAGACCAAATCTCAAAGCACAGTGTAATTCAGGCTTGGCTGACTTATCGAGTTTAGATTAGTGTATTATTTTTAGATCGCTTCATATTGCTGCTATATAGCGCGATATATGGAGGAATATATGTGTTCTGTCGCGGGAGTGACTTTCATAGCCTATAGAATACTTCCCACTTTGCTTCTTTTTCCGCTTTCGCTTTTCTTGCAAAGAATGTGATGTTAGTATTTGTACGGCATTGAACACCCGGTTTTGCTATACGCTGCAGCGTGCAGCATATTATAAAACCATAATATGTTGAATATTTTATTCATTGTATTGTTTTAACTATTGCTGTCAAGCAAAAATCAATGTCCTCTTTCATGAATCTCAAAGAAAGTCTAGTCAAAACTCTAAAAAAGAGGGAAGTCTGCTTGGGTCAACTGTTGGCAATCTATCTAAAAACGGCTTAAAAGAAATATTTATATAAATAAAAAAAAAAATACAAATTAGGCAAAACAATTGACACAAATCAACGACCAAGATTTGTTATAATATTTTTTGCATACACAGAAAATAAACACGCATATTTTGTTTTCGGCTGATTTTGATATTTACGAGGTTGCATACTACAGACAAGGACGACGCCACCAAAGGCACTGGAAATAAAAGCGTGACCGAAAAATTGTTTGTTGTTTTCATTGATAATTTAATTGATAATTGATCATATAATTTCAAAGTGCAAGCACAGATGTCAATTCAGGTGAGTTGGGGCATTTTTTAACTGGAAACGATTAGTATTGTTACAGTTCTACTCTTTTGAAGAAGCATGCGAGAGTGAGGTCCACATTTTGACTGGAGGTGACCTTTGCTCAAAAAAAAAAATACGCGCAGTGAGTTGAAAGAACAAAAACTAAACAATTGCGTTGAATTAACATTTTAAATAATACATGAACCTCCTGCAGTCTCATTCCAACATTTTAGTGTGCAATGTTTTTTTTTTCTTCAGCTACAATATATGGCGAAGCGCAAGTATTTCACTAAATTGAGCGCTGTTCAAGGAGATCTGGTCTTTACGTATTCTTTTTTATATATTTACAATAGCATATCGGATCTTTTGTAATCAGAAACTAAGAGGGAGGAGGAGGCTAGATTGCGCGGTGATGTCAGAATGTCGGAAAGGATAGTGAGTAGACGTAAAACTGGCAGCCGTATGACCCAGTCAAAACGGCGTCTCTGAAATTATCGCGGTAAACTCACCCAGCGGGGAAATGAAATGACAATAGATACTTGTGTTTATTAGCGCTCAGCAAAACCATTTGTTCCATCCCCTTTTTTTTGTATGTTTTCTTCGTGCACAGCGAAGATATTCATGACCGTATTATACAGGAACCTGTGAGCACTATGAGGGACCCTCCAACCAAATTCTCGATTGTCGCTGTTTCAAAAACGGCGACAATCGATAACTTTTTTAATGGTGACAGGAACAATAAACTGCTGTATTGTTTTCTGTCATCGAGTTGCTGATGGGGGACCAGCGTTGGTGCAAGGCTGAGCGCGTTTGGGAACGGCCAAGGTTCCACTGCAACTGGAGAGCATATAGCGAATTTCCTTTTGTGGAAGGCAGTCTATGAAGAAAAAGTACCTCGATTTGGAGTACATGAAGCATTAAAATACAATATGAACACAAACTTCAAGAACCCCTAACATGGGAAAAAATATTATTCTCAACTCACGGTTTTATGACTTCTCAAAAGTGGTAATACACTTCATCGACATACACAGCAAGCACATGACAGATATCCAGCAACATACTACGCAAGAAGACTACAAAATAGTCATAATATATCGCGGCATAGAATCCTAACCTCTTCGCCATTAACGATGTGCGCATAGTCCCGAAGCATAAGGCGCGGTTCAAAATGTCTCTCGCACACCGCTGATGTCTCGGCGAGGCGTTTATCTTCTAGATTAAGCTTTTTTTCCCACTGTAGTCTGCGCGACTCCTTCTTTGTCGCTGGTGCTCCGCTGGTGCTCCGCTGGTGCTCCGGCTGCCCTTGTTGACCGGGTAGCCCCACTTGCATCCCGGCGCTAAGCAAGGTGTGTGTCCGTCTTTTGTCTTCCATTTATGACCGAGACGGTAACGGAACGGTGAAGACTCCCCACCACTACACCACAAGGAAAAGTGCTACGGTGCTACGTTCGGGAGAGGCGTACCGCCTCAGCTTAGTCTTCTTCGCTCATCGCACATCTGCCATCTGCCACAAATTCTCCTAGGGCTCGGAACTACAGCGCCACTCGCGGACATCTATATACGTTGACCGTCTTCATGTGGTCCACTGTAAGCGGGCGCCGCTCTTGCCACTACATCGTCCAGAACACTGTAGTCCAGCGAATGGCTTTGCAGCCCTTCGCACAGCTGAAAGGCATTTTCACTCATGCGTTTGACGCTTTACTTGAACGTCTAACTTCATCGTATGGTATAGCAACAGACACTCGGCATGAGCATTTGTTTCATTATCTGCTACACAAACCACTGAAGCAGGCGATGAAGCAGACGATGTCGCAGGCGATGTAGCAGACGATGGTGCTCATCCGGGCTAGCCAGGGGGCGCTGAGGGGATCGGGCACGGTGGCCGCGAAATGATACAGCCTTTCGGATGCCCGTGGAACGAACGCTATCTGATTCCTCGCGCCGCCCGTTCAGCCCCGCCGTGTCCTCACCTAAAGAGTGTATCTTACACCGTGTTTGAAACTAACCTTCAGATAACTGGTCACCATGATTTTAAGCCACAGGATGGATAAGTGTCGTCACTCTGAAGCGCAGCTTATATAGTGACATTAGATGCGGTGACTCCAAGCTTCCATTGTGCTTTCTAAACCCACCATGTGACTTGTCATTCGCAACTGATGATTAAGTGCCGTCACGGCACTCATTGGCCACGAATGCGAAGCCAAATATCCGTCGACGGAGTGATTGTTGATGAGCGCATACGTCTGAGGGACGCAGTACTTGTGTCCAGTACGGGAGCCGGGTTCGGTTGGTGAGCTCGAACACCGCGGATGCATCACAGTGAAAAAGTGGTGAGCTCTCAAAGGAAAGGAGGTAACTAATAGTCAGCCATGTTTTCAAATTTTCGCACTGAAAAGCAGGCGTATGGTTTTCTACCCTCGCCTACTAGTTTTCTTTTGGTCCACTGAACGATAGGGAATAATTAAATTTTTATATAAACTCGTTTACCTTAACCCCAATTCATTTCATGGCCCCGTTTCGAAATACCTGAGAGAACAACTCCAGGTGAATGGTTAGTACTTAAAGGGCAACTCTGGTACATTTGCTCGCTTTTAAGAATGCGACGGATTTTAGTGAAGGAAGTGTCCCTGAATAGACTTTTTTCCAAATACCGACGCGCCCCATCGCGGTGAAATAACACGCAGTGCACTCTGGGAACTAGTGGGCCTCTCAGTTTCGGTTTCAGCTGAGCAGCTTCATCTCATGTTACACGCTGCGAAAGCGCTGCTTTCGTTTTCGATCATTTTACTTTTTACGAATGTACAATACACTCATTCTCGAGCGATACAAAACGAAGACCTGGGCACTTTCCGTGGTTCCCGAAACACCGGATATTGTGCGTCCGTATCAAACGTAGTAAGACGTGGCTTAGTCACCTCACCCTACGAGTGCATCTTTGAGCTCAATGTCAGTAATCCCGTCAAGTACCAGTGAACTACAACTAAAATTTGGTCACCTTGAGCCCTACACGTATTTTGTTTGCCAAACGTACGCTTCTTGTTGCTTAACTGGGCGAAAAACAAGCAGCATCCTCACAGGATTATCAAAGTTGAGCCCAGCGTTGGCGTATGAACTTTTAAGAAAACGCAATAAATTCGCCCTCACTACTGCACAAAAGTTAATTACTGTGATGCCTTCCTCATGTCGTCACATATGCCACACTCGAAGTTTATGCTGATAGAAGATTTAGTTTTCGCAAACCCTGAGATCGGCTAGCTACGACGGAGGCCCTAACAAGCGTCCCCTTCTCTCCGCTAAGCCTTTTTGGATGAGCTTTTCCTGACGCCCAAGATCTGTGCCTGAGCGGTGTGTTTGAAATTATCTCGACATACTCAGTGAGGAAGAAAGCAAACACATAACAAATATTATGGCCATTAGCAACCGTCAAATGCGCTTTTTAATAATTTCATTCGTTTGGCGCATTGCATGGGGGTTCATGCCCGTCCGGCGCACTTCAGGCGAACGGTACGACATTCTTCCCACAAGTGCTCGACTTTTGCTTTCTTAAAACGGTTTGTATGTGCGAATTTGCCTACATGATCGCTGGATAACCTTATGCGTATATGTGATGTTGAATATTAGTGGAATGCAAGCGGGTTGGGATTTCACTTCGTGCAGTGCTGGGGGACAGTACAGATAAGAGATGAGAAGTGTGTTAAAATGGAGCTTTTCAATGGCGCCTCCGCGTTTTACCTCCCGTACTGAGGCGTATTAAGAAAAACAGTAATTGCAAAAAAGTTATATTTTGTCTATGCACGCATGAAACGAACTTCCTGATCAACAACACTAAAGTAAAGGCGCGAGCTCGATCTATGGATATATATACTTATTGGTTACTACAGCTTGCTGATGCGTACACAGGCAAGATCCCAGAGCTTCGCAGCGTTGAGATTCCCAGCACTGGCTTGTCCACATACCTCGAAACGCTAACAGAGAGGCTCAAGTGTGTGTTTCTTTGTGATCTGTTTCTTTCAGTCTTTCAACCTATACATCTCGGGCTTGTGCTAAAGCTTCGAGGTCTGGCCATTTAGGTTAGTTCAGAGACCACAAATGACGCTCTCGGGACCAGAAAGCATGAGATAACGGCCGTTAATAGTCCACGCTGTGTGTTTGATCTCTTGTCGACGTGTCGATCGAAACCGAAACCATGCCACTCTCTTCCCTGGCCAACTAGTTCCCAGAATACAACGCGCGCCGTGTTGCATGCAGGGATTTATGGAAGTAGTCTATTACGAGGTGTCAGGTTTTTTTCGATGCCTTGTGTAGTTTTGTAGATATATCTGTCTCAAAGTTTTCTTTCGGGGGTCTACGACAAAACCGAAACTACCGGCTCGAACACGATGACAACCCTCGTGACCAGCTGCATGGCCATCGTTTGACGCGAAGTTCGTATCGTGTTACCGAAACACATCCAACCGGCCTAGTTGCAAGTGCAGTTCCAATCAGTCAGGAAAAATGCTACGACAGCTTAACTGCTTTGCTTTGGAGATATTGAACATGGTGTAGCAAACATCAATACAGATTCATTCAGTTGGCGGCCGAAAAGCGAGTTTGCCACGAAGAAACGTAAGCTGAGAACGAGACCCCAGTTATATTCTGAGAAGAACTATAATCTTCTTGGTAAGCTATGGCCGTTGGATAAGCGCTGTGGGAGCTAATTATAAGCTCGCGTTGAGCAGGAACGCACTAAACTATGACCGCCAGTGAATGCCACCTTTGGCAGCACGACGCGCTTGAGCGAGCGGGAAGTCAACTTGGTACGAGATCGTCGCAGAGCACTTACAAACTACGACCGCTTAAACATATCGTAACAGACAGAAATCGTCAGCTGAGACGGCTGAAAATGCAGCAGATAAAGATGGCGAAAGAAGTGGCCAGTACGAACAAGAAACCTCCCTGAAAACGAAGATGACGTCATCGCACAAGGTTACTTTACATATAGCCAACCCGCTGAATCCCGCTAAGAAGCTCATTTTTAATATCAGCTTTAAAGTGGATTGCGGTTTCCTATTAGTGTAATTTTTTGGCAGAGCTCGTATTTAGTTTCCGTAAATCGATATCAGTTATTTACTTTGGTGTGACTTTTGACCGGAGTTACCTAGTACTCAGTTTTCTTTCTTACCCTGATGGATTGAAGGTGTATTTATGCATGCTTTTCTCCTCGTCCACTCATCTGCGTGCATATGCGTAAGAGGAAAAAGAAGAGTGACCACGCGAGGTTAAAATGCGTGTATTTAACGGCTTGTCCCATCACAACAATGAGGGGAAAAAGTTATGACGGACGAAGCTCCAAGGTTCCTCGGCCGTCGACTCCAGCCGACAAAACCTGCAGTAGAAGAGGCGTGAGAACTGCAAAGGGCGGCTCCAGTTCTTTCCTCCTCTCGCTTAAATATGACTGTAAAAAAAAACGAACCACGCAAGGGGTGTAAAAGAGGGAGGACAGTAAAACAAAATGTCATCTCGTAGAGAAAGAAAAGCCCAAAGCCAGCAGAGTTTCCGCGAACTTGTGCAGACGTCTGGTGAATGGAATCTGTAGAGGGAAGACTTGCTTTTTTTTAAGCTTCGAGTCGCAGGGTGAGAACATTATCAGAATAAACGGAAAGTATATTAGAAGTGCGTATGGGAGAGAAATCATTGCAGAACTCTCTCGTAATTCATTGTGCCGCTTGGCACTTCTAGAGTAAGGTCCTCTCAGGGTTCGAGCTGACAAGAGTTGACACTCAGATTACAGCTGGAAGGAATTCTCAGGGCTTTGCTACAGTATCGTCCACTATTCTGGGAGAAAAAAGGTGAGCTACATTGCTTCTTTTTCATCTACGGGTCGTTTCAACAACATTGAAGCAGACCATTCAAATTTATTCTTGGACAGATTTCTCATGCGAGCGCGCCCCCTCAACGTGTTACTAATTCACGAATTAAAACAGAAAGTTTTTCTTTATTGGGGTATAAATAGGTGTATGTTCCTCTTGTGCGTTTTGTGGCCCATAAATTTACACAGTACTCGAAATTACTGGGGAACTCGTCTGGTCGGAGATAGAAAGGAAGTTTTTCATTTCTTCCATTAATAGCCAAACTGGCTGGCGATCTCACAAGCCAGTTCGCCAGCGCCGACGCTGTCTCAGTGAACAAAGGGATCTTTAGTCTTTCTTTATGTGCGAGAAACCGCTCTATGCGTAGAGCATAGGACGGCCCGAGCCCTCGTGTGCACTGCCGCCTGTCTCCTGTGAACCAACCTTATGGCCACGACACGCATGGGTCGAGTGCTTGGAGATGGGTTTATCTAAAATATCAAGAGTTGCCAAAACGCCAAGCCTAGACAAATTTCATCAAATGCTGTTAAAAATTTTACAAGAACCGGAATCAGAGCAGTAAACCTAATAAATATAGTGTTTTTTTTTTTCCGCAAGACTTTGAGCCATAACCTCAATATACCGTGGCAACCAGGTGCCATACCAACCATACCTTCTATCTGTCGTCCGAAACAAGTATTGCACAAAAAAGCAAACTTGGTGGTACAATTCCAAAATAAAAAAAATGATAAAAATTATAAACTCTCAAAAATTTCAAAAACACAATAAATATGTTCTTGAAAAAAAAAAAGAAAGAAAAAAGATGCATATTGTGGACTTACTTTTTTTCTTAAAATAAACTTTCTTATTTCTATAGGTCCCGCTTTTTTTTTTGTCCATCATAATGTAATTATTTCCCTATTCTAAGTCGTTTTGAGAGCCGCATAGTGTACATAAATGGAGAACATTCTTTTGAGCAAAGCTGAATTAAATTTGCAATATTAAAGATCAAAATTCAAATACAAAAACTTTGACCTTAAAAGAAATGTCACAAGCCTTTTACAAAAAAAGTCATCGAGAAGAAAAGAGATAGTGAATAAAAACAGTTTTGGAGTTGCGACAACTTAGGTAGAAATGCTTTTAGCTGAAATTTAAAGATCCATGCACGAGCCAAGCTTGTAGATAGAGAGAAGAGGAAAACATTAGTAACGGCAAAGTGATCATACGAGCGAGTAGAATATGAAAAGAAATGACATCGAGAGACAAGAAGTCAGAAAAATATTAAGGAAAGAATATTACTGTGATACCCTTAATGTTCGCGACCCCTCAATTTTCGCGAATTTCGCGAATGAAAAATTCGCGAAATTTAAGGGCACGCAAAACTTTCGGTCCTTTATAGTTTCAATGCAGGCGACTGGTATTTGCGAAATTGAATGGCCGCGATTATGTCCTTCATGACTGATTCGCGAAAAATAGGAGCCGTGAAAATAAAGGGTTTTCCTGTCTCTTAAATAACCAACAACATCTATCTCTTATGTTGTGTTACCCACAAGGCTTCTCTCCTTCCTCCTCACCGAAATATATATTTTACACCCCAGGGTAACCGGCGCAGACATGGTCGACGTGTTGTCAGCGACTAATGTGACTTGGAGCAAGAATCCCATCACGTTCTTGAGCCAGATCCAACAGCTGGGCGACCCGCGAACAAAGGACTACCCCCTGGTCGTAAACCCTCTCTTCGTGTTTCCCATGATCCTGCTCTACCTGTACTTCGTCAAGGTTGCCGGTCCAAGATGGATGCAGAACAAAGAACCGTTCCAAATCGTCAACCTCATCCGCTTCTACAACCTCGCCATGGTTGTCCTCAACGCCAGGTTCGTGTATATCGTTTTAGTCTTTACGTACCTTCCCGGAGGTCGCTACAGCCTCTTCTGCCAGGGCATCACGGGCTACATGGACGACGAGCTCACAGAGTACTACAAGACTGGCTGGTGGTACGTCGCGGTCCGCTACGCCGACTTCCTGGACACCGTATTCTTCGTCCTTCGCAAAAAGTTTACGCACATCACACATCTGCACGTCATCCATCACACCATTGTAGCCATCAACGCGTGGTACTATGTGCTGTTTGCGCCAGAAGGACAACCGGCCCTAGGGCTCATCATCAACGGCTTCGTGCACGTCGTAATGTACGCCTACTACTTTCTCGCTACACTTGGACCAGGTGTTAGACAGTACCTCTGGTGGAAGAAGTACCTCACACTGTTGCAGATTGTTCAGTTCGTGATTTACATGGTTCACATGTCGATTCCCTTGTTCGTGGACTGCGGCTTTCCGAGGTACCTCATCCACATTGGGAACGCGCAGACGTTCCTCATCTTGTGTCTTTTTCTAAACTTTTACATTCAATCATATTCAAGGAGAAAAGAACCCTCTACAAACAAGAAGAGTGTCGCAAACAGCACGGCTGGCGAGCGCAGGGTTCAGAATGCAAAACACGATTAGACGTGCACATGCTCAAATGAGCTGTGAATCATGTTTATTTTATAAATTAAAAACAAATAAAATTACATTTTGTCTGGTTTTATATGTCGTCTTTCACCTGTCTGTTTTTGAAACGGTCTGACATCATGGTAGCAAAAACGTTAAAACGGTACATTGGTAACGCAAACCGCGAAGGCTGGTTCACACATGTATCTTAGCGCTGGAACAGCGTTATCGCCAGCACTGAGTTCGTACTGAGTTAGAACTGAGGCCTGTGTGTAGGCAAGTAAAGGCGGGGTCACATTTCTCGGGGGCTTGAACAGCGCTGACATACTTTGCCTATACTGCTGACTCATTGCTGCGGTGTATGTGCGAGCTGGGCTTTAGGGTTACCGGTCGGGGTTTCCGAGCTAAAGTGCTGACAGCTGGTTAATCAGAACAGTCAAATCAGAATCAAAGGTGCGACCTAGAAAAGAAGAGTAAAAAAAGAAAGACAGCAGAATGTAGACGAGCATAGCAACATATCAGCCTTTTTGTGGATTATCTGCAAACTACGACGACTCTGTAGCAGTAACACTCCCGCAAAGCTTAAGGGCTTGGTAAACTAATTGCGAAAACCCGTTGGAACTCATTCCTTATATTGTTTTATTACCTCTATCGTCATAATCTCCGCGTGCTGACAAACCAATAATCCACATCATTATAGAGTTCAAAGCCTGACATGCCGGAACTATAAAGTTAATTCTGTCACAACCTCAATAGTAGAGCAGACATTAACAATGAATTCTCCACAAAAAAGTGCTTAAGAAAAAGAAAAACAACATTACTCGAGGAAAACATCTGCGCGAGCTCGTAGTAGACGAGGGGAGAGAGCGGTGAGGGCCATCATGTGGCATACATTCCTCAGAATTTTTTTTTTTTTTTTTTTTTTTACAGCAGACAGCGGGTTGAGAATGTGTTTTTTTCTGTTTTCCCAACAAAGCGCACGGATCCCTTGACAGAAATTGGAACAGGCGTAAAAAGTGCGAATACCGGAAAGCGGGTAAGTGGGCACTGCGACCGGCATGAAGGCGTGGGATATCCTATGGTTACCGTTTGCCACGAGAATTGCCTCGAGAATAAGCACACGCACAAGGCGCCTTTCTTTCCCATCGGAATGGCGGTCAACGGCGATGCTTGTGCCGTTTTACACGATTGCTGCAAACCCGACTTTACATGTGCGGTGAGACGAGAGATTTGAAGCCGCAAACAGAAAAAACAACCGAAGCGGGGTCGAGCCGGCCCGTTTACTTGATTCCAATAAAAAAAAAAAAATCTAACATAGTGGCTGACAACTTAAAGGAACTTATTACTGCTGCAGGGTTGTAACTTGTAGGCATTGCCGAAAGAAAAGTAACGAAAAACGTTACTCGTTGCTTGCAAATAAAAGAAACGCGATACCGACCTACGTTAAGACAAAATAAAAGAAACGCGTTACAGTAGCAATTACCGATCAGAGGTAACGCACGTTACTATGGCGTCACTTCTTTTTTATGAATAAAACCGTTTTACTGTTTCAACGTTAGAGGTATGCGCAAGCGCCATATCTGAAGAAATTTTATGTCTATACAGAAACTTAACATAATTACCTTATCTTTTATTTTAACGGTTCCACCTAAATGATCACTAGGAGGAAACAAACAAAAAAAAAAAACGTACAATTTTGAAGGTACTATAACGCTCAATATGAGTGCGAACACCGCTCCGCGTCGCACGCGATACTATCAGTGCCCCCTGGCGATAGCTCTTTGAAGTATAAGGGCACCTTGCGCACGAGACGTATCGTCTCTAACGATCGCCGCGCCACTCTGCACTTCCGGGTCGTCTGCTAGCGAAAAACGGTCGGCGAAACCGCGAAACTGTTCACCATTAACGAAGCAAATTTGTCGCTTGCAATGTGCGCCAGGAGAAATAACTTGTAAAAATATTTTTAGGGTCATGTTTCGTTTAGAAAGTTTTAGTAGATTATTCCCATGACTCCCATAACAATACCCGATACTTCGCCGACGCCTTTAAGCATGCATAATATTGCTATCGTAGGTACCAATACAATCAACTAAGACGGCCTATTATTTACTTCGCGTAAGTTTTGCGAGACCAAAAGACCACCAATGCGCGCAGGCAAGAAGTTTGAACGGCGCCCGAGCGTGGGTGATACTCTTCATCATGGAAAGCAGCGCGAAAAAAGAACGACGAGGACGTAGGAGAAGCACACGGGATATCCTCGTCGTTTTTTTCCGCGCTGTTTTCCATGATGAAGAGTATCACCCACGTTCGCATCGCGCTAACTTCTTGCCTGAGCGCTTTGGTGGTCCTTCGTTCTCGCAAAACTCAAGCCAAGTAAATAATAGGCCGTCTTAGTTGATTGTATTGATATCTCCGATAACAATATTTTTCACGCCTTTAGGCGTGAAAAATATTGCGACGAAGTATCGGGTATTGTTATCGAAGTCATGGGAATAATCTGCTAAAACTTTCTAATCAAAACATGACCCTAAAATCTTTATGCAAGTTGTTTCTCCTGGCGCACATTGCAGGCGAAAAAAATGCTTCGTCATTGGTGAACAGTTTCGCGGTTTCGCCGATCGTTTTTCGCTAGCAGACGACTCAGAAGTGCAGAGTGGTGCGGCGATCGTTAGAGACGATATGTCTCGTCCGCAAGGTGCCCTTATACTTCAAAGAGCTATCGCCAGGGGACACTGATAGTACCGCAGGCCACGAGAAGCGGTGTTCGCGTTCATATTGATCGTGATAGTACGTGGGATGAGCGCAATAATTCATAAAAAATTGGCACCGGCCGAAACAAATTGAAGTGTATTTTTTGCAAGTTTTGGGAAGAAAAGGTACCGAGTAACGTAACTACGTTACGTGTTACTCTAAATAGGTAACGTAACTACGTAAGTCCTTACTGTTAAAAAAAAGACGTAACGAGTACGTGACTAAGGTACCGGATAAAGTAACGAGGTGCCAGTAATGTCGTTACTGGCAACGCGTTACCGCCGACACTGTCCGCAGTCAACGAGATTGCGGCATCAGGCTATAACATTGCCGAAGAGCGAATCAAGTAGCAAGAGGCAAGGTCATTATAGGTCACGCCCTGCGTTGCTACTACCAATGTTTTTCTTGTTTTCCTTTTTTTTTACTTCTGACATTTGTATTTGCAACATAAGAGTATGTTCTAATTTTTATTATGGTATTTGTTTCATTGCCCCCTCCTTGTGTAATGCCCTTGAGAGAGGGTTCTTAAGGACCAAATATATCAAACTAAATTAAATGAAAGCGGACCAGTATCCGCGCGAGCAGGTGCATTCGTGCGTGCGAACAGGCCCACAAAACATTAATGCGCAACACATGTCCCCGTTATTGGGACAATGACGATAACATGAAGCGAAATGCATTGTGACGGTGCGCTGGCCACATACGCTGCTTCTGCCTCGCGAAGCGAGCGAGGCAGGAGCATGCATGATCTCTATACGTGCGGCGCGACATGAGTTAAAGCCTACTACATACTAGTCTTTGCGCACCTTCCGAAGGTGCTCAAAAAATGTCCGACTACCAGTTCGCGCTTTCCACTTTTCCCCCGCTTCCTCCTCCCCCCCCCCCCCCCCCCCCTTCTTCTACCCTGTCCACCGTTGCCTGCTTCCTCCTCTTCCAGGGTGAGGAGGACCTTCTGCCTTGTAGAATGCCGTGTCTGCCCTACCGAAAAATCCGGTATAACTTTCCGCTATCCGGATTATGGAACCGGAAATATAACTGGATTCTATCTGGACTCTATCTGGAATTTAGGTTTTCAGAAATTATACCTTTGTCTGCAATCTGGATTTCGGGTTTCCAGTAACAAATTTCCGGTTCCATATTCCGGATAGTGAAAAGTTATACCGGATTTTTCGGTAGGGTGGTCGTCGGCGTTTAAGCTTATGATGATAAAGAGCTTACGCCTGTTAGCTTCTCTCGTACGTTTCGGGTCCGTTTTCTTTTTGGAAGTAGAACAGAAAACACAAGAAAAAGCAATCTAAAAAAACTAACAAAAAAAAAAAAACGTGGTTACGGTAGAAAGAGCGAGGGAAACAACTGCATTGTCTCAATGAAACAATGAATGAACGCAAACGGAATGATGTGCCAAGGTCCCTGTAGCCCATTGGTCCTTGCAAACATACGACACGGTGATAGCCCTTCGTGCGCAATTTAGGCTAGCTTCAATTTCTTCCTTCCTCAAGTCTCCAAGAAGTGCAACTCAAAGACGAAAAAAAAAAAAAGCACTTAAAGAGAAAGGGGGCGCAGTAAAACGCCTTGAGAGAACAATCCCGTAGGCAGACATTTGACAGTTTTACGCAGTTGGATAATCATACGCAACTATAGGGGAATGAGATCCTAGGAGGAAGAGTTCCTTGCTTTCAAAGATTCAGCGTTTAGCTGGGCGCTAGTTAAGGTAGACGCGTAAAAAGCTGGAACACTTAGTCAACACAATGACTAGCGGCTTGTAGCCACGAACGCTGTGTATAGACATTAGAGGTCCGAGCTCACCTACCCGACCCGTCCTAAAAACATCGACGGATTAAACTGAGTTCAACGGCGACAGTAATTTCAATATAAATCCTTCGGCACTTTCAAGATTCTGAAGGTGAGTTTTGATTGCTCCCATCTAATTCATGCCGCCCGGCGCTTTGAAGCGTCCAGAGGAGATAGTTCTTTTTTTTTCTTCTTTTTCGAGTTGATCTGGATTTAGATTTTGTTCGGCTCGTGCCGATTGTTACAGACAGCTTAAAAAATGCAAAGTGTGCCTTATGATGTTCGCTCTTCCTACTTCGTGATTTACTCTTCGGCGTTCTTACCGCCTTGTGCCGCAATCTAAAAGGCTTGCCACACCCTGCGTTTTTGAGTTGTCGAAGACTATGCGGAACACAGGTTCGTGTGCTTCTTGCGCAGGGGTTGCGATGATGTCGAAACGCCGAGCTCGCATTGGCTGATTGATAAAACTAGTGGGTAGGCCTCAAGGCAGCTAGCAACGATGTCTACCCACTATCTTTTCAGTCCAAGCCTATAAGAGCTCGGCGTCGTTCTGAC